TTCACGTCATTTTGTAATGAACGCATACAATTGACCAGACCGATCTCATGACGTCGTTCAAAACTGAACTTAGAGTTGAGAAGGTGAGAGCAAAAATGTAGATATTAGATATTTCGGTCAGTTAGTATTATTATTATTATCATTATTACTATCATTATTATTAGATTTTACTTTTTACGTGAGCGAGGCTCAAATAAGCGCTTTTCAGATGGTGCTTTAATTTGTGCTTTTAAGATGATAAGAGAATTTTTACAAGATTGAAAACAATAACGATGGGAGATTCTGCGAGAACACGCATCCAGAGTACTGGCATTATCATAGAGTTCAAATCGAAAATTCTTGATGCCTTCCAATGAGGACAGAACAAACGTACTGCGTCGTGGATGTTGAACGTCATGTTGATTTGCCCAGAGAAACATTTTGAAATGGACGAAGTGAGGTGCTAGACGTGTTTCACCACTTAATCCCATCCAAGTGCACTGAGAGCTGAAATTGCATTTCATTATCCGTAGTTCACATTTATTGTATAAAATTCGTCTTTTAAGCTCAGCAAAGAACATGAGATTGAATCGACACTCGACGACAGCAACTCTGGAATTTTATCATTTTACATACCACCGCCGTCTTATAGACCGCATTTCTCATCGAATGTCCTCCCACCATTCATCAAAAAACGTCAGCGACTATTTTCATCAAGTGATCGCCTTTGTTGCAATGCAAAAAAAAACTCGCATATTTCACAATAATTATTGTGNTGTAGAATGAGGTAATAAGTTGAGGAGGTTTCATTGAAAGAGTTGATTCTGTGAACCGGTTTGCTGACAGCTTAGAAGTGCTAACGCACGTATATCATTCAAACTTCTTCTGCTTTCATTGAAAGCCTTTTTTCTGGCCATAATTCAACAAACGAATAGAATAAAATTCTTTTCAAATCAGAATGAAAGAGAAAAAACTATTTGTTGTGTTGTGAAAACGCTACGAACAATAAATTGATCAATTAGTGATTCATTTGGTTCACTTTCATAAAATGGGAATTCATTTGAACCTCAAACGAACAATTCCGCTCGAAAAGTTACGAGAATATAATAACAATGTTATGAATTCATTGAATGGAAGTAAATAATCAAAATATCGATGGATGTGTTTGGCTTTCGTTGTGGAACTATAGCTCTTTACCACTATATGATTATCCGTTGTAATTATTAATTCAACTATCGAATTCAGAATTTTTCAAGAAAAACTTATTCAACTCCTCAAAAAAATTCCGTTATCACAGAGTAACTTCAGCTACAAATAAGGACCGAAATAATGAAAACTTCATTCTGATATGCTACAAGACAACGAGACGACCGCCAGCCTAATGTGTCTAATTGGAACAACACATGACATAACTGCGCCTGTAATCACATGAATGCGTATTTTATTTCGCTTTCATTATAAATGACTACTTCGAATTCGATTCAGCATTCTGTTGTGATTCTCTGACCTTAACGAGCTTCTCAAACAACAATAAAAATAGCTGCTTCAAGCTTCAAACTGTGCTTGATGAGTTTGGAGTGTTTCAATTCAGTGCAACATCGAGTCATTGTAAAACCGGTTCACTTAAAATTGAGATACATTATTTATTAATAGAGCAATAATGCCTCATCAAGCTATTATCTATGGAAGTGTCATTGTTAAATTTTCATGCAATTATTCATTTCTTTTATCCAACTTTCTCTTATAATCACTTCTTTGATTACTTCTTTTCAACTGACGATTCAATGACACAGGTAAATACATCCTCAGAACATCTTTCTGCCATGCTTAAGGCTTATACAACAAAGGGTATAATATCATTTGGTTGAAGAGAGTTTGAGTAATGAGGAAAGTATTGAGTGTAGCGATGTGCACATGAAGAATTGAAGAGGACAGTTTGAAGGTGAAGGGCCGATGAGGGCAACAATTACTGAGGAAAAGAATAAGAAAAGAGATCGACGAGAAGATGATCACTACTCAATAGAGGGGTTATTTCGTAACAAAGAAGCATAAAATGATGAGAGGATAAGAATAATAATGACAATCATTTGAACCGTGCTCACAGATTATAATGGTGAACATTAAGAGAGATCGATGGATGTTTATTGCAAAATCCATTTCAGATAAAGACCTGTAATAATAATACACATATCATCAGTATATTGCCATTAAGTTCTTCGAATAAATCTCTATTGCCAATAAAGGCAATTGTTAATAGTGTATGTAAATTACATCTAATGTTGCATTGTTCACAATATAAATCATTTTTCAAAATTCATCCGATTCATCACNGTGACATTTTTGGAGGGTAGTGTGGAAACTAAACGACTGGGATGCTACCAATTTGGAGACTGTCACAGTGATTAGAAATTTATAAGAAAATCACAATAAAATGCAGTGATAAGAACGCCAAGGGTTAGCACAACACTCTTCCCTCTGAAACACCTCAATTTTCTGCTTCTCTTTGTAAGGGACTCATTGAATTCCTCAATCAAATGCTATCAACACACATTTTTGATTGTTCTCTTTGGGAGAAAACAACTGAAAACGTAAATTTGATTTGAACTGCACAAAACAACTCGGTGCTATCACGAAAACAATTTTCGCCAAAACCTTCGACTTGTTAAGCTGACGGAATATTCATTGACATGGACAAAATGGCTGATTCATCGCGCTTTATCATTCTCATAAGTGATGCATGGAGATATTTGCTCAAATAGTGTGAACAATCAGAAGAAAATGACCTAATCATAGGACTGAATTGATTTAGCGATAACCATTATTTAACACCCCTAATAGTATGTGTATAATATCATGACTTTCAGAATTTCTTTTGTTCGTAATAATGTATTGAGTCCATACGAAGTGAAAGTTAAAAACCTCACAGCGCAGTCCACTTCGACAGCACCAAATTTCCACAACGAGAAAGTGCCCATTTTGTTCAAAGTGAAGCAAAATCGCTGTGATTGTTTCACCTCACAAACGTCATCACCTACCTTTGAAGTAGTACCGTAACAATCATATGCTCATATAGCACTACATCAACATTCCCTTCTAATGTCTGCTATAAGCGTTAAAAGCGTACCTTACCGAAAGTGTTGTGTATCACACATAAATAAATGTATCAAATCAAGTGAGAGCAGCAATACAATCAACGATAATCACAATCAAAGAGAAGGCATTTAGCTGAACGTGCCGAAGCATAACAAATGAGACAAACGCATTTTCAATAATATTCAACAAATAGGTAAATGGATAATTTGACTTCTACGGTTCATGTTCGTTTGGTAATTTCACGCTGAGCTGCCGCAGCCATTTAGTGGCTAACGAAATTTCTGGAGTGAACACTCAAATATCTTCGCTCAGCTAAGCATGATTCATTCTCACAACCTAATCGGCAAAAAAATTATCATTTCGATAGCAACTATTTTGAAACTGATATAATTGCATGAAACTGATGAGAAATCAGTCTTAATGTGAACGATTCAAGGCTATTACTATGATGGACAGAACGAGAATGTGATAGATACTTTAGAATCTAAAGTATCTAAAGTTTCACAAAAAAAAGTCGAAAGTCTAAATTTTATGTAGATAANAGGAATGTAACCGAACTGACACACGATTAGCTGCGTTGTTTAACTAAACCTTCGAGGACCTATAGTGCTTCATGGATCAGGGTTTGATGATTTTACCGTTGTGGAGTGTTTTAGTTATTTCAAGCAATTCATAACTGTACGAGCCAGCTGTACATATTTTCATATTGAATGGAACACATTTGTAAAAGTGATGTAAGCATTTTTATGATTCATGGTATGAATAAATTCATTTTGTTTGTAGGTATGAGTGTTTTGTGTGATGAATGGTTGCAGTTGAATGGAATAACTTGTTAAGAAAACAATACGAGTCAAATATACAAAACAAACGCGTACTTGATGCGCGAAATACGTTTTTCAACAACACAAATAAATACATCATCCATTTATATGTGTTTATGTGGATGTGTAAATATATACGAATAATTACATGTATATGTACGACGTTTGGATTGTATTTCTGAATCATTCTAAAAGACCAACCGACATTCAGATGGATACTGACTCGCTCGCTCGCTCGGCTGGTCGACTGCATTCATGTCAGGAAACGATTCAACAAAGAACAGCGCAACAAAAGAGAATACTGACATTCACATGGCATTTCAAACCGAAATGCATTCACAAACTGAACCAATTCAATGTCTTAAAACAACGAAAGTCAACTGTTTGCAAGTAGCTGATGACTGTTCGTTATTTCTTTCGTTGTGAATAAACTGAATTGATTTGCATAACGATTGCATTTTCTTACTTTTCAGGTTGAGGTATATCTAACAATCTCATGTGATAATCAACTGACAGCTGATATTTGTTAGAGTTCAGTTCAATAGTCACATCCGCCCACAAAGCAGCTCGCATAGGTTCAAGATATAAAAGATAGATGACATAAGAATAAAGACTGATCGATACTTATGATCTGGGCGAAATTGAATCAAAGGGACATCGTCCCTCCTATTGATTGATATGCAGCGGATTCACAAAGTGGATTCATATCTAATCGGATAATTGAACGTGAAACTTTTCATTATTTTAACCAAAACTATTCTTTCGTTGGAATCAAGGAGAAGAATATGATAGTTGGGAATGTTTGCTAATCCGTTTATATCATTGGCAGACCAGAGTGAGATAGCTTCGAAAGATTTTGAGATGTGATTCACGCGAATTAAAACTTTGAAAGTGTGTTGAAAATCGCTCTCAGTGACCCAATTCACGTGAATAATAGTACAATCAAAACCAACTTCTCAATCGATCGACGAATTTATTCACTCGTTAATAAGAACGATTTAGACAGCTCAGTTTCGGCAAGATATTATTTCTTTCGTTGATGTCATAATTGTAAATCACAAGATGAAAGTTATGAAAAGTTGAACAACATACCAAAAAAAGCAAAATTCAAACAGCTGCCGGAAGACTAGATGCTGGATTGTTAGGTGGTGGCGGGGGATTGCCTTGAGGAGATGGCTGTGATGCTGCTGCAGCCGCTGCCGCATGTGCCATGGCGTTTGTTTTCATGGCATATGCAGCCAGTACGTTCCGATGAATATCGTAGGGGTTATAGCCCGACATCAGACTACAATTCAGTTAAATTCTCAATAAAAAATTAACCAGGTAAGCACACAAAAACATGCATTCGTCAATTCTGCGATCTACAACAATCACATATTTATTAGCCAGTTTTCTATGTTAACTGAAACGATCTCACTGCGATTGTTGCTGAATAAAACGATGAATTGAACAGAACAACAATAAACGATAATTTCAATGAAGTAATCGAATTTAATCAGTCATCGCCTTTTCAAAACGTGTACTATTATATAAAAGTGTGTTCACTTGTCATCAAGCAATCGCGATACGATGATATTTCTGTCATAAATCTACGAAATGAACAACTGCGGAACATGTGTGCTTATGGAAACATTTGTGCAACAACTGTAATATCGCATAAACACTTCTGAATATGTGTGAATTGAAAATGAAGATATGAAATTATTTCGCTGTTTGCTCATTAATTATTTGATGTACTCAGAAGTGTGGAAATGTGATGAACGGCTGAGAATGAACATAAATAGTGTTGAGAGCTCACCTCGTCGCTGTTGTTGCAGGAGAGGAAGCCGGAAAGAACGGTGGATAGTAGGAGAATTCGGTCGCTTTTGATAGCGCTGCACTGTCGGCAGCAATCTTAGCAGCCATATCTAACGGATGCATAGGGGGATAGAACGACGTTGGATGATGTGAAACACTCGGTTGACCTGGAATATGTTTTTTGATTGCATTGCTGGCACAGTTTTAGCTCAAACGATCCATTCGCTATCGAATAAAAGCTTTTAGAATAGTCATCTAAACAGCTTATTATCACAACACTGCTCAATAAATCATTCATAACAGCATTATTTTATGAATAAAATGTCATTCTTAATCATAACAAATGTTTAAAATTGCCGCATCATTTGTAAAAGATCTGTTGCCTTCAACAACAATCGTTATTTGTGAAATCGGTATTTGCGAAAGGAATATGAACACAAATCATCATAACTGATTGATCGTTGTGAGTTAGTGTGCTCTTTTGAATGCCATAATATCGAATTATGATGACTCAAACCGTGATTAACTCGCCTCTATGAAAAACACGACGAATAATAACGAAACATTGCAGTGATAACATAATATTTCATAATATTATTGTGCACTCAGTAAATATGAATGTGCCTATTGTGTTTCATTGAATTTAATTACTATTCTATTGAAACTAGTTTTCGATTTGTTTCATTCGAGTAATAAAGAAGAAAAATTTGTTATACCGAGTAGATTAGTATGTGGGAATGTTGTGAAAGGAAGTGCGAATGGGTATTTCTCTTTTGGTTTCACGATATTTTTCGGTTTTCGTCGTGGTCTATACTTATAGTCTGGATGTTCCTTCATATGTAACGCTCGAAGCCGTTTTGCTTCGTCGATGAACGGTCTCTTTTCGGCATCACAAAGTTGCTTCCATTCAGCACCTGAATGAACGAACTTTAAGATTTAGTTGTAAACGACAATAGCTGGTAGGTGATGGATGTCTGTTATATCTTCTTCAACAGAGAATTCTTCGACGGATAAACTCGAGTCATTATATTTGAACTTATCCATCAATGTCTCTGAGTATGTAATGGAGGTGTCAAAATGAAGTGAGTCCAATCAACACATACCTAAACGTTTACTAATTTCACTGTTGTGCATTTTCGGATTATCCTGTGCCATCTTGCGACGCTGTCCTCTCGACCAGACCATGAACGCATTCATCGGTCGTTTCACATGCGAGTCAAGCGTCATTTTGTTTGCATTCATAACGTTGCTATTGCCTGCAATAAACACAGTGTAGAAACGGTAAGAAAAGATTGTTGGTCTGAAAGATGATGCTAGTTCTTAAATGAAGAGGACTGACCGCTATTCAGTGACCGCGCTCCATCTGAAGATATCGAACCGGCATCATCGTCCTCGTCCATATCCTCATCAATCATCTTCTGAGTGCTCATATTCAGCGGTGCTGTAGATGCTGATGGCGTGGTTACAATCGCTGGATAAAGCATCGAAAGTTCACTCATCGTGTTAGAATATTTATGCCACCCGACGACTGCAAATAATATTCGGCATTGATGCGCAAAGAGAAGAGTTATTTCAACGACACACAACTCAGCGATAGGTGCTATTGTGCTATTCAATGAAAATGAGGTGATTACTGAACGACGGTCATGAAACTGTCTGTTACCGTCATTATTTCACATAAACGTAACAACTATGAGATATTAACAGAGGAATATTAGCCGAAGCTGAGAATAGTCTTCCTTAAGGGCATTACCGGAAACAAACATAACAAGTGGGAAATGTTTTCTAGTCAGCAATAATCAGGAACATTGTTCGCATCAATTGAATCACAGATGATGTAAATGATGGCTGAAGTTTGAAGGAAAGAAGATCTGTTCAATGTCCATAGCATAACACATTGCAGCAAGTAAAAAGTTCGGTGCTATGGTTCCACGGACTGTTGACACAAAAGTTTCGTTCGGCAACGTTTTGTTTCATTGAAACGAGCACAAAGTATAATAAAACAATCTTTTAATAGCAACAAAAACAATTCAATCGTCTCTATTAGCACAGTCAACAAGCCATTGTGTTTCTACTCGTTTCGAGGTGCTAAAACTCCTTTGGATGGGCGTGAAAAATTAATGGCCGAACAACGATCGGAGTGTATCTGCGCTAAATCATTGCGTATTTATTGCAATTTACAATTTGAAGTAATTAACAATGTTGATTGGAATGCAAAATGTGATGAAGTGTGGTACTTTTGAAAGGAAACCTTTTGAAATGATACATTTTTATTTTCAAAGGATGACAAAATCTCAGATACTGAAGTATTATGCACTATTTTAGTCTTACAAGCAACTAGGTTGATCCCATTTCCAGAAAGCCACATGTCACTAAATAATGCTTCCGAAGGGTTCGAACTATAGCATTCGAAACGAAAAGTGTCGATTCATATTTGTCATTATCGTTCAGAAATGAATTCGCTTCGATAATTTTTCAACGAGCAAACGCCTCATATCTGAGACGATTATGATTTAAAAAAAAACATCAGATGGATCAGTCTAGAAGTGACCCCAGCTGCATAATTCTATCAGATTTCAAAGATGCGTAAAACAAAAGTGATTTCGTAAAGTGAACATCAAAAAAAGAGAAAAGGATGAGAAAACGCAGCGGTTCTGTGCATGTTTTTAGTGAAAGTTGCGTTCTCGAAAGAGTACTTCAGCAATAAAGCTTTCAGTTGTTAGCATTTGCAATGAACATTCTTATACTTTTCGTTATATAACAAATGATGTGTCATAATGTCAATAAACCTTATTATTAGTTTTTTAAAAAATGAAAATATTCAACCAAGAGAGTATTTATAAAAAACAAAATCAACAAAAACACAGAATAAAACCCACTATCTTTTAAAGAATGATCAAATGGAAGTGAAACAAAGATCTTTCGTCTCTTACACGTATGACCAAAAAACATTGATGAATACTAATGCTAAGTTAATCAAAAGCGTTACTCAGCCACGAAAACAACAACCATCATACGATGAAACAGCATCATCCGCTGTGGAGATTAATATCGCCCCTTCCACTCCCCATCCCCCCCCCCCTCCCCTCAAACAAATTACGTGTATAAACAAAAAGATCAACTTCCGATTCATGTACATTTGCATTCATCTATCTAGAAAATAGGTCTATCGTGAATATAGATCTATCAAACAAAACTCGATTATGGCCCCATACATTCCATAATACGTTTGCATTATCGTCCGAATAGCTGTTTTTGCCTCACAAACGCACAAACCTAAAAAAGATCACTGATTGCTTTAGCAGAACCAACCGCTTTTGTAAGTCTGCCGCCATCTTAGAAGTTACATTCAATCAACAGTTTTACATCTGTTTCCATTGCAAATGGCATCATTCAATGGACGTTTTGTTGATTTAGTGAGGATCAAATGGGAGATTCGTAATTGACGGGCATTGCGCTGCGATGTTGATGAGGGCAATAAGAGAAAGTTTACAGTTTGTTGGTTGGAAATATATTATGGAATTCGATTGATCGGACATACATGGATATAATCTTGATTATTTTAATAGGCAAGACTGACGATTGTTGTTGATTGTGATTGTGGTTATGAAAATGACCTTTTCTGCAGTGAAGAATATTGCGAGAAAACGCACTCGATTTGAGGTTATTGCGTGATGCTTTTTATGAAATGTTTCATCATCATCATCCTCATAATAATAATAATAATAATATCAACCATTATGAACGAACTCTTTTATTGTCAGCAGATCAAAATGTAATGTAAATGCGAAATTCAAAGAACGTACGTGATTAATTCAACCAATATAACAAAAATACGCAAACATACATTTCCTGTGAATGTACATGCTCATTCAGGCGCTAAAAAAACACCCCTCAAAAGAGTTTCGTTTTTTCGTGAGTAAATTTGAACGATGAATTTTAAACGAATTCAGAAGTCAGTTCCGCTGACGTTCTCAGTCTTTCGTGAACTGAAAAATTTAGACGTTCAATGAATTGTTTTGAACAATACTTATTCTGATACTCCAAGATGTTCGCTTCATTAATGCTTCAACCCTTTAGTTACATTAAGAAATGAAAACGATGCTGAATGACTGCTGATTCCGGTTTCAGCCCCGGTGAGAAAGTACACTTCTAGCGCTCAGTTCCGATATTTCTTAAACCTGAAGTATCCAATATGAACAAAATTGAAGGAGCAACAACAAGAGAGAATGATGTGATTATAATAGATTCGAAGCTCGAAACACTTGACGAAGAAGATGCAAATATAACAGAAATGATTTCGAGTGTAATGCAAACATGCATACATAGCATATAAGCGCATGAATACGAATTCGCTAATTTCACAGTCAGACGACTGTTTTCCGTCCATGTGACGTTTCATCGCATCGAACTGGAATAAGGAACAGTTCCATAAAACGAACTAATTTACACTGATTTTTTTCGAAAACTAAAAACACTATCAATAACAGTGATAACAATACCGAGCATTCCTCATCAAATATGCGTCATTTTATGGCTTCGAACAAACGAGCAAACATCAACTATGCGTTGAATGTCTATTTATGAATGTAGCAAGTTGATGTCACACTATCAATGACACATAACCACTTATCCGGTAGTCAATGATAACATTCAATGCTATGGAAAGGAGAGCTGTACATATGACGGAAGACCGAAAAGCGTTGCTCTGTTTCGACCATTCATTTAGACATCGCACTAATTTGAGACAGCTTTAACTTTGTGGGTGATAAGCTCGTGTTAGTTGTTGAATAAACATAGATCACACATTCCGTTCAGATCAAGTAAATATCACTGAGAAATAGTCCATGCGATCAGCACGTAGTACACGTACAGAGCAATTGAATGAAATGTGTTTTCTGTCAGAAAGGCAGCCGCTTATAGCGACCGATTTGCATAGATGGCTAAGATAAACGGTTTTTATAGCTAATCGGAAATGCTTGAGTTTACACGATCAGATCAGTCTAACGCCTGATTCTGATAGCACAATAAGCGATTGCACGATTGTAATGATGTAGTAGAATGACCGGAGAGATGCATGCCAAACATGAGCATTTTGAATGGCTTGATTACAGTAGTTGTTGAGTGGGAGCGAGAACAAAAGATTGCTGCTGATTACAGTATGCACGTGCATTTGAACATTCAGCAGAGGACATTCAACATTTCATTCGTCCACAGAAACAATAGGCTCACTAGTTTTGGTGCCCAATATAATGCATGACACAGATAATGCTTACAGACTCGTTGGTTCTACCAGCTAGATGCTGTGAACGCTTTGAAAATGAGTGCAGTTGAAGAAAGTGAATTCATCAAATGAGCATTATTTTTTGTGTTTTAATCAGATGAATATAAAGAAAATTTAAAGTATGAATTGTGAGTGAGTAAGAGTGAGGAAAAAACGAAAGAGAATTGACTACAACGAAATAGAACGTTTATGTGAAGAGAAAGGTGCAGGATTACGAATAGTGATTCGAAATGGATCAAATAAAGTGATTTGGCTGTACGTATGCATCAACCAGGTTCGTTTCATCAAACAATATTCAAATAACAATACCAAAATAAAACGAATAATATAAGAATGGAAATAAGAAAAGGGTGTTGCATACTATTCAGCAGCACCATTCACAATCACGTCCCAATCAAGAAACATTCGAAACGAGGGCGGAGCATCACACAGTAACGCCCAGTTCTGAAACAGAGTTACTGAATGACGGTTTACATGTTCACTTATGGATGATGCATGATCGAGGAATAACTAATGCTTGACGATCGTAGTACTTATGCCCAAAGAGTGAGTGCCGAATCCCAAATAGAAGCTTCTCGTGGAATGATATCCGAAACTGTTGACATTTCACTGTAAGTTGAATATCGGATAGAAGAGTCGAGAATGATTACTTGGATAGACGCTTGAATGAGTTTGACACATGACGAACCGTCGTTCCTTCATTGTTGCTAAGAAATGTGGTAAAGGTGCAGAGATAATGAACAGTTGCTGGAAAGAAGTGAGCGAATAGCAGATGACAGTAGTGCGAGAATGTGCAAATGATTGGATAATGTATGCATATGAAGATGATTACGAATAAAATCAAATAATAATGCTAAACATCAAGAGCATTGTCACATTCTCTATGAAATGCATGTGTTTATCGGTGAATAACAATTGTTATGTGTTCAACATAATTTGCATTTAATTTACGCCTAACTCCACACTGATGCCACACAACTTGCCTTCAACAACTATCCAGATCTTCAATGACGGTCACCGTTATAGTTTGGTGCTAATCAAATAATTGGAACTCAAGGGAGCTACGGGCGAAGGAGTGGTAGCCGGTCCAATCATTTACATTACAATATGAGGTTGAAAATTTGCAATACAGTACCTACTACCATTTACAATTTGTTCGAGTGAGAAAGATATTTTCAATAGAACTAACGAATTATTGATCGTTCAGTGAGTTTC